AAAATTAATTTTATTTTAGTTTTTTTAGTAAAGTAATACTTCATTTATTATTAAATTAAAGTATAATAAAATAATTAGAATAGTATAAAAAGTTAATTTAGACTATTCTTTATTTAATATAAAAAAATTATAAAAATTGGTTAAAATTTGAATGATTTTTATTAGAAGCAATTATTAATTTTTATATTGGTGTATCAATCTTCTTGCAACGGTTCATATATTATTTATTATATATATATTATAAATATTATATAAACTATTTTTTATATATCATATTTCTCATGATTCAAATTTAGTTTTATATATAAATAGTAAGTTTTAAAAATAAATTATAGTAAATTTAAATATTATAATATATTATATTTTTCTATAATTTAATCAGTTATATATATATAATAATATAAGAAAAAAATAAAAATAATATAAGAAAAATAGAATAACTTAATATTCAAAAAATAATAACTTTATAATTATGAATAATAAAAAAGAATAAATATAAAATATTTATTTCTTATATAAACTATAATTATAAAAGTTTAAATATATACTATAAATTAATTTTAATATTTATATAATTTTTTATCTTTTTTAAAGTATAATAATAATTAAATTCTTTTACTTTTATAATCTTTTCAGATATAAATAATTCTTAATATTAAGATTATTATTACTCTTATTTTCTTATTTTAAATTATTATTATCTTTATTTTAATTATTTTTTTATTATTATTATTATCTAATTTATTTTTAAAATATAATTTTTTATTTTATAAAATTATAAATTAATCTTGTTATACTTAAAAATTAATTTTTTTTAATCTATTAGATATATTTAAAATTTTATAATACTTAAAAAAATAATGAATTATTTAAAAATTAACTTTACTTTATATTTATTTAACTTATTTAGCTTAAGATTATAAAGAGATTTTTGAAAATATTTAGTTAATATTAATTTTTTAACTTTTAAAATTATAAATAGTATAATATTTAAATCTATTAATATTTGTTTATTAATTATAATATAATTTATTAATTTTACTGAATTAATCAAATAATTACAAAATAAATTTATAATTAATAATAAATAGAAATTAACTAATATTAAGATATAATATAATATTTTCTTAATATTCATTTAATCTTCTTTATTTATTTAAATAATATATCAGATAGAAAGTTAAAATAAGAAATATTTTTGAGTTTGAAAATTATTATTAATAATAATTTTATACTATATATTAATATAATAGTTATAAGTTCAAATATTAATTATATATAATTCAATTTTTTCAACTATTATAGTACTTGAAATATCAAAAGTTAATAGTATTTTATTTATATTTCTAATTAAAACAAGTAGATAATTATATTAAATATGATAATATAATATAAAGTTCAAAAACTTATATTCAAGATCTTTAAATAAATATTATATTATAATTATTTGATAATAATTATTGAAATTATATTATTTTATAATTATTAATCTATTTGTTACTCTACTTAAATTTTTTAATATTAAAATATATTTCTATATATTAAAAAATTTTTATCAGATTTCTTAACTTGATTTAAATCATATTACAAGTAATAACTTTTAATTTTTTTTGCAAATCTTTAACCTAACTATATATTTCTTCTTCTAAAATAAAATACTTTGATTATATTTTAGAATTTAAATATTTACCATAAGATTAAATTAATATAAGTTATTTTTTCTTTTTATATCATGAATTTGATATGATTAAATAGTAAATTTGTTTACTATTTCTTAAATATTAGTATTTAGAACTTTATTAAGATATATAAGAATAGTTAATTTTTTTCTTGCAATTCATTATCTCTTCTTTTTTTATAATAATTATATTAGAGATAAAGTAATTTTGATATGTATTATTTTGAATATAAATAAAAAATATATCAACGATAACTAAGTGTCTGCACTGTATGTTATTAATAAATATATTATATTTGATAAAAAAATTAAACCTAAATTTTGTGATTACAAGTTTATCGGGGATGATTTATTATAACTGTTCCTGGAATTGACTTCAGTTTAACGGAGTTTTAATTAGTGCTTCTATTTAATTGGGGTTCGTTTAACGAGGTTTGACTTTTTTTAAGTTTTTTAAAATCAAATTCTATTGGATCCAATAGTTTAATTATAAAGAGAATTGATTATTAGCCTTGCTTACAATTTAAAGAATAATTATAAATGTTTCTATTTTATATAACTAAAAATCAGAATTAATAAAAGCATATGTTGCGAGAACGGGATATGAACTCGATTCAAACCAGAATAAGGATAGTGATGACTATTACCCACTGTACTGTTCGATTCGTCGTGGTATTTTTCCCGGTGTATATGAAAATCGCATTTAAAAAATTAGGAATCTCTTAAAATTTCTCGTTATATAAATTAATATTAAATGATTCCGAACATTTTAATGCAAATTATAAATTCTTGACATTCTCCAAAAGAAATAATGTTCTATCGTTATTTAATCGGAATAGAAGATTATTTCATGCTAGGAATTGGCGTTGAATAAGGAAATGACACGAGACGTTTAATAATTTGAGCCCTGTTGTGGTTTATGTTAAAATTCCTAAACTGGTAATCAAAATGAAAATTTTCAAAAAGTGAAGCTTGTCAGAACAATGACCGTTAAAAAATTCGTGCTATTCTTCCTTGTGTGTCTCATTTTCGCAACAATACGCATACAATACTCGTCTGCCGCAAAACCACTGCTATTAGAACGTAAATTACACAAGCTTAATGAACAAGTTCGGAAACATGACGGTTTTGTAGAACTGGATTCTGACTTGTTTGATGAGTTCCTCGCCAAACCGCGAAACTACTCGTTTGTTGTTCTGTTGACTGCACTTGATTCTTCTATAAATTGTCATCCATGCAGGTAAGGTATTGGATTAACTAGGCTTACGCTTAAAGCTTAAGAGTAAATTTCGGGTGGTTATTCAAAAAAAAAATTCGACTAATTATTATGTCTATTAATTTCAGAGAATTTGATCCAGAATTTCGACTTGTAGCTAAGAGTTGGCAAAAAACAGATAATCCTTCGCGATTGTTTTTCGGAATTTTGGATTACAAGAATGGTAGAGAAATTTATAATAAGGTATTCTCACAGATTACCTGTCTCTGTTTTTGATATAAGCTTTCTATTGATTTATTTATTTCGTTATGTAGCTCAAGCAAAATACCGCACCCTCCCTTTGGTACTATCCAGCTCTAGAAGGACCTTTTGCCAAAGATGTTTCAGAACCTGATAAATATGATTTTTCTTCAAAGTAATTCTATTTTATTCAATACAATGATTGACCCCTGTTCGTTTAATAATTCTAATCAATTTGAATTGTAACAGAGGATTTAGAGCAGAAGAATTTGCATCATACTTATCAAGTCATCTAGGAGTTCAAGTACCAGTAAAACGTCCACCAAACTATTTCATGCTTATGCTTAGTGTATTCTTTTTAACGGGCGCTTTGGCTGCGATAAAGTTGCTTTTCCCATTAGTGAGAGGTATATTCGAGAGTAAGAATACTTGGGCTGCAATTTCTTTGGTAATTTAGAACAGTTGTTTTATTTGAAAATATTTCTTTTTCCGTCAATTTTATTTAATCCATGATTTATTGTACGAAAAAAAGGTTATTATTCTTATGATGATTTCAGGGCATATGTGGAATCATATTCGAACACCACCTTACGTGACTTCAAATGGTGGCCATATTAATTATATCGCTGGCGGATTTCAGAACCAATATGGATTAGAGAGTCAGATTGTTGCTATTATGTGTAAGATTTATAAATACATAACATATGAAAATATTTTATTTAATGTTTAAAATCAAATTGATCTTTATAAAAAAAAACAATAGATGGAACTTGCGCATTTTCTATCGTCTCCTTGACTGTTGCAGTTCCAAAAATGGAGGATAGGATGAAACAACGGTTTGGTGTATATGTAAGCTTTCATGTTTCCTTTTTCTTTTTTCATATTAATTAATTTTAATTAATGAATGAATAATTGATTTCTTTATATAGCTTTGGATGGGAATCCTAGTGGCAATGTTCAGCCTCATATTCGCGTTGTTTAGATTAAAATATCCCGGGTATCCTTTCAGACTATTTATATAAGAAATTAAATTGCATAAGCGTCGGATGGAAGTTTGATATTAATTTATTAGCTGCTTTCATTTTTTTTAATGAAAAGTATAAGACATGTGTGCTAAAGAAAGATCTTGTAATAATACTTGTTAAAGTAAAAAGAAAGAACTTTATTCTTTCAATAAAATCGACACAACTTCAGATAATAAAAATTTAACATTAATAATTAAGTAAAGATGGACCAATGAATGAAATATGTCAAGAGACGCGTAGACGCGTAATTAATCACCATCGTAAATATTCTTAATAACAATATAGAAATAATACCCCCTTTCACCCAGCAGAAATAGAAATCATTTAACAAATTATCTTTGAATTTCATCTCCACAATACGGGCAGAATCGAATTCGACCCGACACATTAATCTCATTTTTACAAGAAGGACATTGCCGAATTCCCCAAGTAGGTAAAGGCGCAGCTTGTTGAGTCATTTCTTCTCGTTCAATCTGCCGAATTCTTTCTTCGTCCGGACGATTTTTCTCATTCCAACGACATTTCTCACAAATCCATAACGTTTTTTTGCCAAATGCTACGATTGGAATGAAAAAGACTGAGAATTCTTGTTCAGACTGATATTGATACATTGTTGGTGTGCGATCCAAACAATTTGGACAGCGTGCTGGGAGGGAGGTTGATAGGCGTTTGAGTTTGGGAGCAAGACCACCTAAGTGAGAGTATAACAATTCTTAAACAAATTTTCACTAATCAGATTTAACAATTCGCATTACAACTTATACTCACCAAGGAAAAAGAAAAACATTATTGAAAGAAAGAAAGAAAGAAAGAAAGGTCTTAGAGTGTTTTGTGTCTTTAAAATACACTCCTTGTCTTTACGTAGTGGCAAATTAACCCTGATTATTAAACAATGAATGTAATGGTTGAGAGAAGAATATGTTAATCGTGACGCGTGAAAGTTAAAATGATATGATTATGTTGTTTATCAAATTTATAAGCGGTTATCCCTTTTAGGGTGCACAAAAGCAGTGAAATTTTATCAACAATTCGAGCCTGGACAAAGAAGAATTTACAACTACCACATTTTTAATTTACTTTGAAGAACTTCATTCCAAAATGTATAGCTTTGATTTAATTCATTATATTGCTCGAATCAAACTGTATAGAATAACTTATTTCTTTTTTTTTTTTTATAATCAGGTCTGAATTTTGGGTATCCCAAGCAAAACATTGGTGTCAATACTGTCGAATTTACATCGCAGATAATAAACCTGTTAGTAACTAATATTAATTAGTGTTTCTTATTAATTTCGAGGAGATTTAGTAATCTACTCGCGTTTTATTCAATAATTAAACTATTATCAATAATATTAATATCTCACTCGAAAAAACCTAGAGCCGTACAATGCACGAAAGCGGAAAAAAGCATAAAGAAAATGTCGAGAAATTTCTACGAAACATTTATCGTCGTGAAGAAGAAACTAAGAAAGAGGATGATAAAGTGAAACGAGAGTTACAAAGAATCGAACGTGTAAATATAATATATTTTTTGTTGGTTTTAAAACCTATAGATCTATTCTTTTTTTTTTAACTGAATAATTCTAAATAATAGGCTGCGATGAAACAATATAAAAAAGATGTAGGATTAGCAGAAACGGGCGCATCCCTTAATACATTACGTTCTGCGATTGATAATGCTGTGGCTAATGCACCACCTCCATCTACTGATGAACGAGAAGCATATTATAAAACGTCGTTACCTTCATCTTCAGCTTTATACTATTCAGATACAACTACTGTTACTGCTCAACTAGAGTCGGATTCATCAACATTAGTAACATCATTAGAAATATCAGAGGTAACAGCCGAAGAAGATTCTCAGATAGCAATCATAGATGCTCCAAATAAACCAGAAGATCGAGGTGATGGATCTGAACCTGTAATAGGGGAATGGAGACCAGTTACTCCACCACCACCACCACCAACAGAAGATACAACAGCAGCTTCTTCGAAACAAGAAGGAAAATTCGATGATAAAACTAACAGAGATTATATTCCATCTATAGAAGAATATGAAGAGGAGGAGGAAGATGATCCAGATAATTTATTGAACTTTAAAGTAATAGAGAAAACATTACCAATTAATAATGACGCTATTGCTGATGAAAAAGTTATTTTGAAAAAACGGAAAATTGGCAAAGAGGGGAAACAACCAAAAAAGATCCGCAAAAAATCTTATGATTAAAAATAATTTATTAAAATAAACACTTAGCGATCTTTATTCAGTGATGCATATTTCTTATATCTATTGAGAAATTATTCTAACTTAGGGATTGTCCATTACCATTAGCTATTTCGTCTCAGCTATCTTTAAAGATGAAGTTCAGGCAAGTTTTCAGGTAATATTTCATAAATTATTTGCATTCAAAGCTTTCTTTAGTTTGAATAAAACTAATTCAAGCCACATGCCTAACATGCAAATTCAAAGTTCAGTGTGACCCAAATATGATATAACCTTGATTCAAAACTATAGATTTCAATATTTGTAAGATAAATTATTTCAAAATTGATAACGATTCAAATTTTAAACCAAAATTAATATGCGTGTTTGTCAAATTAACGCAAATCTTTTGACAATATCATGTGCTTCATGAAGAAATAATGACCCCAACAGGCATAATAATGTGCTTTATTTCTCCCTGTCTATAAGGCCAAATAAATTTTATTTGTGCTCGGAAGGTTTATACATGATTTGTTTCACCAATAATATTGCAATGTTTAGGGAACATCGAAACTTTTTTTATGATTTTCAATCACGTGATTGTCGGATATAACCAAAATATACGTATCAATATATGATATAGATTTCCAAGAGTAATATAAAAGGTTTATATTTTCTAAAACTAGAAAATTAGTGTTTGATGTTCTCACATGATCTACATTTTTTGCGATATAAAGTCACGTGTTATTTAAATTTTATTTAATTGTGTAATCCAGATTCTATTATAAAATTTAAACGAAAAAATGTCTAGCAGCATCCCTCCAAATCCTACACTTTATGTTAGGAATTTGAACGAAAAGACACCAAAAGAAGGTCAGTATCGGGAGTGATCAATTTGGTTATTTCTTTAACATAATTACGGATAATTAAATTAATCGTTGTTCTTTGCAATTATCAGAACTGAAACGTTCTTTATATGGGTTGTTCAGTGCATATGGACGTATACTGGATATTGTTGCTTTGAAAACGATACAGATGCGCGGTCAAGCTTTCATTGTATTTAAAGAAATACAGAGTGCGACAGCGGCGATGAGAGGTTTGAACGGATTTATGTTTTATGATAAGCCAATGGTGCGCATTATATTAATTAATTAAATTATTCGTGGCGAATCTTAACTCGTTGACCAAAAATATATAATTACCATTTTTATTACTGATAAACCGTCTGATATCACTTTCTTTTCTTTTCGTCTTCCGTTTGGCCTTTTAATCAAGATCGAAACCAGACAAAAACGAGGATTATTAATTTTCTTGTTATTTCTGGCTATTTATGTGATAAAATTCTGATAATTATATTCTCTTTCTTCATCGCGTTTTATTGGATCTTCTTTCTTCAGCATATTGAGTATGCAAAATCTAAATCAGATGCAATTGCAAAGCTTGATGGCACATGGAAGAAACCATCAGCTGCCATTTCTACTGAAAAAACTGCGCATCCCAATCTGGCAACAACTTCAGCAGCAACAAGTGCTCACATTACATCGAAAAGAGGACTTGAAGAAGAAGGTTCGATTAATTTCTATTTGTTATTTAACCGTAATTTCGAAATAGAATTTGAATTAAATCTTTTTTTTATTTCGAACCATTGTATAGAGTCGCAGAAAACAACAAACGGAAGACAAAAACAACGAGAATCTGTGTCTCCTCCTTCAGGTGAACATTATCCGCATTATTGATCTAGTTTTTTAAATGAACATGCTTGAAATGAACATTAATAAGGTCATACAATAATCAGAGAAAATGGATGAAGATGAAGATCAAGAGGCGATGATATCACACGGAGAACCTGAGGCACTTAATAGAATATTATATATAATGAATTTACCTCCCGATGTCACAGATGAAATGCTGAGTTATTTATTTCAACAGTAAGTTGACATTTTGTAATGTAGTTAAATTTTTTGTTCATGTGTTTAATGTAAATTTTATTTTAATTTTTTCAATAGGTATCCTGGTTTCAAAGAAGTCCGACTTGTTCCTGGAAAATCTGATATTGCATTCGTTGAATATGAAACAGATCATCAAGCAGCCGTGGCTAAAGATGTCTTGAACGGGTTCAAAATTACACATGATAAAGAGATGAAAGTGACGTTTGCTAAAAGATGAATGTAATCAGTGAATGAATGAATGAATGAATGAATGATTGATTGATTGATTGATTGATTGATTGATTGATTGATTTGACTAACTAGATGATAGATGGTGAGTATAGATTCGGTCCAAGTATTATTGCTATTATGACATTATCATCGAATACATATTTTGATGAAAATTTACTACACTTGTTCTCGAGAGAAACGTAAGAATTATATTGTTTTTTGTGTGTCTACATGAATGAACCCATTTTGAAATTATTATTAATAAAAATTGAGTTCATATCTATCAATTCATTCTGTACCAATTTTCTTTGTCCTTAAAAAGATTTTTATTTCTATGTTTAGTATTATATACTGAACGAAAATGATGTTTCAATAATCATATTTAATGAAAAAGACTATACTAGTAAGATCAGAAAGATGATTTTGACAACCTTCATGGTCCTGGTTTATTCGTATAATACTGATAAACGATGTTTTCTTATATCAAGAGAAATTTCGTTTTATACTGCAAGGAGTACAATTACGAATATTTTCTCAATCTTTGCCATCTTTGATTCTTTGCAGCTCATCACGAAATTCAGTTAATCGCTCAATCTTTTCCAGTTGATCTGAATTCAAAGATTCACCAGCTTCTTGACGTTGCACGAGTTGTTCAATTTGTCGAATTTTTTTCTCCAATGCTTTTACACGTTTTTTTAAGGAGTCCATTTGTGAAACTGTGTTGGTATCTTCCGACGTTGCTTGTCGTGTAGAATGTTGTGCTGTTTCTATAGGATTCGATGTACCTTTTTGCGTCTTGACAGAGCTTAAAGTAGTAGAAACTTCGACAGATGTAACTGTGAGGTTTTCTAATCCTTGTGATAAGAAAACATTCGCTTGTATATCCAAATCTTTCTTTTCTTTTATGGTTGATTCCCCGTAATCTTGTCTTTCTTCGCTCAAATGCCTATCAATATCTTCATCCTTTTCCTCATTATCAGCCAAACTTGACCCATCTTCCTCCTCAAGATTCTTTTCACGTTTTTCTTGTTTTTTAGCTTTTCTTTTTTCGTTCTTTATTTGTGCTTTGGTTTTGGGGCGTGCAGCCTCTAGCTTTTTTTTATTCAGGGCTGTTTGTTGTTCAATCACAGCAACCCGAGCATTCTTATAACGTTGTACGTCTTCAAGTGGCACAAATCCATCTCGCACACGACGTTCTGGACGAATTGAGCCATCTGCTCGACGTGTAGCTGGTATTATTCGCTCATTATTTGCATTTGTTATAATTCCAGCGACTGAGGGTGTAGAAGAGGAGCGACTCGAGTTATTTGACATTCTTTTTATTGTGTAAATTGTGTCAAATAGAAAATAGAATTGATCTACTGTTTGTATAGATTCTGTGAATTATATGATGTCATAGCGATCAAAATTTTTATTTTTGCCCGAACTTTAACGAGAATAAGAAATGGCCACACATCCTTCACCAGCAGAGTTTACGCGTGAAAAACACGTGTCATACTTAAAAATGTGCTTAGAGTTGCTACCACATGAATACGAGTCTTTTGATACGAACAGGTTAAAACTGGCGAAAAGAAATGTTTTTGAATTATCGCAGATTTATCTGACTTTTATTTTGATACGGGATTAGAATGACATTCGCGTATTTTTGTTTGTCGGGTTTGGACCTTTTAGACGTATTAGATTCTGCTCTTACTCCTGAAAGAAGGCGTGGGTGGATAGATTGGATATATGCACAACAAATATTGCCGAACATGGATAATCCAGGTTTGCAGAGAAATAATGTCTATTTTATCATCAAGTTACTGCGAAATTGGTAAAGTTAGTGTCGTGTAATTTATTTGATAATATGGTACATTAATAGCGGATAATGAACATCTTTGTGGCTTTAGAGGTTCGCCGTTTTCTGGATCCAGGTTTGATGTTAATGGGGTAAGTTTAATTTGCATCGCAGAAACTCAATTCATTATGTTTTAAATTCCTAGATACGCTAACGCCACTCATCATAATACATTGGTTTAAATATCACTTTTCCAGGTAAGAGATGCTCAATTTCCCGTTGATGCGGCTAACCTTGCAATGACCTACACCGCGTTATGTTGCCTATTATTACTGAAAGATGATCTATCTCGTGTGGATCGACCAGCAATTATCAACGCGATGCGATATTTGCAGAATGAAGATGGCAGGTTGCTATTATTCATTAGTTCACATAATCTTTAACCATGATTTATATTGAATTTTTGTGATCTTTCTTTTCTCTCTCTTGGAGTTTCTCGCAAACATATCAAAGCCTGGAATCCGACATACGATTCATATATTGTGCATGTGCAATTTCATACATATTAAATGATTTCAGTGGGTTCGATACGGAAAAGGCTGTGGATTATATTAAAAAAAGTCAGGTGACATATGTGATATTTTCACCAAATCATTTATCATCATATCTTACCTTCCTGATTCTTAATTCTTCATAAGACATATGATTATGGAATAGCTCAATCTCCAGATCAAGAATCGCATGGTAATCGATAACATAATGTTTATGCATCTATCCATTACCAATGTAAATGAGAATTATTTTGTATATAGGTGGTTCCACATATTGTGCGATCAGTGCCCTTCATCTTCTCAATCGTATTGACGAAGGATTATTATCAAAAGACAAAACAATTTTCTGGTGTCTATCTAGGCAAATATCCGGATTTCAAGGGAGACCAAATAAACCTCAAGACACGTGTTATTCATTCTGGATTGGAGGTGCCCTTAAGGTAAAAAATTTTAATTCTTCAATCACCATATATAAATAGTGTTTATTTTTTGCTAACAGCTGATTATGTAATTATGCAGCTATTAAATGCATTTGATTTGGTTGACTTCGATTCAAATCGTGCATTCTTGATGACTACACAGTCAAAACACGGGGGATTCGCAAAGTTGCCTCCAGAGTTAAACAAATATTCTAAGTGGATAAATTATCCTGCGGGTAATCAAAATCTTTACGACAATTATGAATTGAGCGTTATTGATTCACAAGTACATTACATGATTATATAGATCCATTGCATACTTATATGGGTATAGCAGCACTCTCACTAATGAGAGATCCGGGATTTGTGGATTTAGATCCGGCGCTTAATATTTCAAAACGGACAATTGATCGATTGATCAATGAAAGTGTGTTTTGGAAAAAATAAATCTTTTACTTAACACATCACTCATCGGCCTCGATCCATTCGTTCGGATTTCCAATATTTGGATGATTACCTATCATTGTTTGTTCCATCAATGTATTTGCATTCATCTGACATAATACAATCATTGAAATTTTAAATCCAAATTCAAGATCAAATCTCCTGGATTGTGACAAAATAGATTCCCATTGTTCAATCAAATGTTTTAATCTGATTGATTTAAACCAATCATTCGCAGACATTCCTAACTTGTAATGTCTACATGCGATTGCATCTCGGGGTCACAACAGAATGTACAAGTGATGTATATAGTTTAATCTTTTATAATTTTTTTGCCAACATTTCTAATTTTAATCATTGTGGTAATGGCGCAAAAGAATGTGCATTTTACATGAATCTCGACAAATTGGTTATTCGAAAAAAATGCAGATATTTATTATTTATGTATACAATAGAAATATATTAATATATTTTACGATTAATTCGTTCCTTCACTTTAAGTGCACGCATTGTCGTAATCACCATCCATTATTGTTATTACTTTTACCACCAATTAGCATTTAAATGCTGCCCAAAAATCGTAACTACATTACTACATCATAAAAAGATATTTATATGAATCCTACCTATCTACCTACCTAGTACCTAGGCTCACTATTCACTATGCATTATTATCACCACCGGTTCATTCTTTCGACCACTGTCCATCATTTTTTTCTTATTCAAATATATGTGCATATATATGCATGTGTATGTATGTATGTTTCATCATTTAAACAAATACAACCAAAATAAAAATAATGATAAAATAATAATAATGTAAAAAAATTAAGTCGGTGTTGCGTTGTATTTGTTTAGGTTAATCGTGTTCATCTGGGTAAAAATTATCAAAATATTAGGAATATAATGAAAATAGCCAATAAAAGTAATGAATGGTCAAAATGAATGAATGAATAGTGCTGCCAAGATCTTTGATCCCGGTTTTAAATCTAATTCCAAGTAACATCCTCCTCCTCTTCCAAAATCCAGCAAGCCAAATAAATATCTTCATTCAAGATAAAATTATAAAATAAAAAATTCCCAATAAAAAAATATAAAATCAAGAATGATATACATAATACAATAAAAGATAGTAAAAGTATATAATAAAAACTAATAGATACAGAAAGAAAGGTAATCGTGCGTATAATAGAATAAAAAAGGAAAGATAATATATATATGTATATATATATATATATATATATATATATAAATGATGAAATAAAATAAAGAATAAGAATAGGAATGATGAATATATAAATGGTTTGATTGGTAAAAGAGGAGAATGTCAAAAAAAGTTTGATGTATAATATTTGACGAATTTTAGTTCGCATTGCTTATAGAAGTAAAGATGGCAGCAAAGATAGCGGCACTAACGAGTAAATATAGGGAAAGAGAGAGAAATGTAGTGGGATAAAATGGAATAAAGGATACTCGATTAAATTTGACCAACACTAACACAAATTAAAAAATTTCCCACAATATAATAAGAACGTGAGTTTCCAATTACATCTTCTATTGCGATTATATATAATTGTGGGTATAAGTTTATGTGTATGTATGTATGGATGTATGTATATGCTTGTGTGTATATATATATATAAATACATAGCAAGTGAATCAACATATAATTGAATAATACAATTTATTTAAAGAGCTGTGTCATGTTGGTTATTATGTAAAAAAAAAGATAGGATGGATAAATTCTCCTAGTGTGTGGTGGCTTATTGAAGATTGATTGGTCGATTGGTGGTGTTAGATAAAGTCATTATTAATTTAAAAATAGTAATAATAAAATAATAATAATAATAATAATAATAAGAATAATAATAATAATAATAAATAATAATAATAATAAAAAATAATAATAATAATAATAATAGCAAGAGGAAGAATATGAATAATAGGAATAAAGATATAATAAAAATAATAATAATGAAATAATTCCCTGAAAAAATTATATTCTTGTTAAGTTTACATAATTTGCATAAAAATTTCAACAAGAGTTAATTTCTAACCTATTCCATTTTTTCACAGCTCCACAATGGAACATTGATCCCAAATATAATAGCTAACTATTATTCTATGAGCTATCATGTATTCCATTGGTCTCATTTGTCTCGTTGACCACCGTAAGTTGTATTCCATTGGCCCCATTCGTCTCTCTGACTCCCGCAAGTTCATTCATCACTTTTGGAGTTGTCACTCGCAGAGTATCCGCAATTAATGGAGTATCAAATGGAGGTGGACTTGGAGGTCTCAACTTATCCAATTGATTGTTATTAATAAAATTGTTATTAGAGGAGGAGGCGGAGGAGGATCTTCTATGATGATTTTCGATAGTTTCAAGAAGATTAGGGGTGTGGTTTTCATTAACACCATTTTCAGTAAGGATTGTTGGTACTTCATCTGAAGCAAGAGTATCCAACACGGGAGGAATTGCCATATCAATAGCTTCATGAACACTCAAATGGTCATGAAACTCAATATCTCGTTCAAATATCATCGAATTCCGTGATGGTGTTGGACTTGGAGTTCGGAAGTCATCAGCCGAAATACCACATTCAGTTGATGTACGAGGGCTTGTTGGTGATCGACTACGTGTTGAATTTTCACTTAGACTTTTTGTGGAATTCCTGCGAGCAAATGTGGCAAACAGTGATGGTCGTCCATTCTTTACACTTTTGAAACTGGGTGTTGGACTGGCTGGTGGTGGTACTTGCGGATCGTCTTCTGCCATTGAATGGAGAGTTTAAATAATGTATGTGTGTGTGTGTGTTTTTTTTTTTTTGATTTGAAGTTTTCGAATTTTTTTATATGACGGTTTGTTTGTTAAAATTAATTTTTGAGATTTTTGAAGCAAAAAGGAAAAAATAACCATGAAAATAAAAAATATGGGGTAAAATATATTTGTATATTAACATTGTAGGAGTCTTGGTTCTTTGGCGTATCTTGTTGTGTATCTAAGCACAAGACTACAACCTGACCCCCTTAATAAGATCATAAAGAAATCTAAACAACCCCACCCTCGCACACAACTTTTCATTCTGTGAAATATATACATAAGCATCATCTCGACCAGACATTTCATTCAACTCAAGCACAAAACATATAACTCTCAAGCAAGTAGTAAACTCGCAAGCGGGTGATATGATTTTGGAGTTGAATTAAAGGCCGCACAAAAATATTTTCGTCATTGAAAAGGAACCACAAAAACTATAACGAATGAACTAAGCTAAGACTCGAATTTGACTGATTGAAAAAAAATAATACAGAAAGCTTTTCGCCTTGTTTCATACCTGGAGCACTATTATAACCAAACGAGTGTCCATGCTTTTTATCTTTTGTTCTATAATTCCAAGTCATTATTTTACGTATGCCTGGTCGTTTTGATGGTTGTCCATTAGTGGATGTTATAGGCTTATTCGTTGTCTGAAGAGATGTTGCTGTTGACATTTATTCTTTCTTTGTATAGTGTCTTTGTTTGTCTGGTTATCTCTGTGTGTGTCGAATTTTGAGATGTAACTAAACTAAACTGACTAATAAACAAATAGTAATACTTTATTTTAATTTTAAATTTTAAAAAAAGAAAAATGATTTTAATGATGAGAATAATAGTGGATATAGTGGATAATATAATAATAGCAATAGTCATTAATAACTCAATGGCAGTGTAGTGCCTTCTACGTCACCTGTCAGCTGATTGATTTCGATGAAATAGAGGGTAACACATCACGCAATAATAATACATGACACAAGTATCATGTGGCTAGTCACAATCTTGAATATTGTTAAATGGGAAATGGTATTCTGGAATCTTCTTTAGCTATCGATATTTTCTACAAATTCATCAGTATTTTTTTATTAGCGTCGCAAAGAATTATGAGAATTTATGCATAGATTGTTACGTATCTTTACATGAAGCTCTACAATGATCACGCTTAAGATTGGTGAATTTTTTTTTATAAATGTTTTTACGAATTTTTGAATTTTTATTTAACTACAAAAAAGAAAAAAGAGATTTTAAAATAATAACAAACTGGAGAAAGAAAATATAAAAAGAAAAGAAAATCAAGAAAAAATAAATAAAAAATTGTACAAAAAAATATCGAATTTTTTACGTATTTATATATATATATATAAAAAGGTTATTTTACAACTTTTTTTGTATGAGGTTTTCTTTGATAATAACGAATTGTAGCAGTAAGTTATAAATGGACTAAGGATTTAACTTCTTCAAGATTATAGAGCACGGTCATTTATAAAATTATAAAATAAAATCTTCTTCTTCTAGACAAAAAAAAATAGAATGGGAGGGAGGAAATATTTCTTCTTCAGGATTTATTTAAAAGCATTTATTTAGTTAAGATACAGAAACGCGTACGATATTAATATCGGTATAGATCGTAGATCGTTAAATCTTTAAAAAATCGAAAAATAAAAAAAATAAATTCGCGCGAATTTAATACGTTTTATTGGAGTTGGGTGAATCAAAATAAATAACGAATTGAATAATACTGAATATTCGAAATAATAAGAATTTAAATATAATAATTTGGAATTTGTTGCTTCTTCTGAATAAAAAAAGTTTTTTTATTATTTTTCTTAATTAGAATTATAGTTAGAAAGTAAAAAAAAATTCATTAAAAGTGGGGGGGGGGGGGGGTGGTTATTATTTTTTTGCGGATATTATTTGGATGAATCATGTAATAACAAAAACGAGGACGAAAAAACAAAAGAGAATGACTATTTTATATAATATAGAACGATAATTATATATGAATAATAGTGACAATAATACCGTGACGAGAAACCATTCAAGACATTCATTAATGGGATGAACTAACATTATTGTTTTTACGTAGTAATCCTGTCAGAGAGAAATTTCATATTATCCAATTAAAGAAAAGTGGGCAAATTCTTAAAAAAAAAAGAATTAATGCTTAAATAATTGATTCGGGATGATGGTAAATTTTCTTTAAAGAGATAAAAAGAAATCTCTATTCATTCATTTTTTCATTAAGAATATTGTTGTTTTGCGAAATTACTATATTCATATAAATCTCATCCTAATAATCGTTTATCGATTTTTCCGTGTTCGTTTAAGTTGTTTAATCGTAATAATAGTAATCCAACCAAAGACATTTCCATTTTTTGTGATTTTTAACTTTTTTTTGTTAATTTCGATAATTTTTTACATTTTTTTAGGTTTTTTAGAATTATCTTGTAAAAATAAAAGTTTCTTCTTCTTCTTCTGTGACTGGCCCAAATGCGCGGGAAACGATCGTTTAAATAACAAAATTCTGTGTATATTAGTGTAGAAAGTTTTTACACGTGCGTGCAAAAAAGTGAGATCATCTTTTAACGTTGCCAAAATTGATTGAATTTTGAGAAGAGACCAAAACAATTGGTTTATATTATGATGATTTATTTAATATCGATATATTATTAAGTTATATATATATATACTATCAAGTGAAACGGGTCATCTGCTCAAGTGCCGGCTGAAGAACAAATGGAATAATATAATAATCACTTTATTAAGAAAAAGGAATCAAGAAGTACGAAGAGATCGAATTTATCAATTAATATAATAAGTTAATAGCAAAAAGATTATAATTTTTCATTACCCTTGTCAATAAACACAACAATGAAATGTAAAAGTTCAATGCTGTACTCTCTCAACATTGTACTATGCTTTGCCGTCGAGATATTACAAGGAATCCACATGTAGTGTATTTTCAGGTCAACCAATTGAGGAATAACACAATCAGCTCCCGTTTATTGTTCTTCGGTGTTAAAACTAAAAAAAATATTGCATGAATCATTTTTCTTTAAGATTAACTTATTGCAAGGTTCACTGATTTCTTGATTTGATATTTTTGAACACTATGCACGAAACTTTTTCATTGTTTCGTCAAAATGATGATTATTATTACGTGTATTATGTCAGAAAAGAGTTAATGCGTACGATCAGAATTAACAAAAAGTCCTGTTCTTCAAAATTAAGTTTCATTGTCGAGAAAGAAAGAAAAGATGCCCTCATTATTACGATTATTATTCGAAGAATTTTGATTGTCATCCTTAAATTCGCCGTACACACGCATCGTGAATTAATTGTTCTCTTCCGGCAATAACTAAAAAAATATTTACGCAATTATAAAAATATGTAGAAAATATATAGCTATATTATAATATACAAGAATAGAAACGGTTATTTGTCACAACAATTAGTTACATTGTTTTTTAAGATAAAATAAAATGTCGTAATACATATCGAGATATTTTTGTTTTACTATAGCTGCTATTGTTTGTTCAATTATTATATTGTTTCCGAAATTGGAAGCGATGAGTTGATTTTCATATTTTAATTAAATACGCAGACAAAATAAATAGAAATGTACCCAATTTGCAATTCATGTAGTTGGCATCTTTTTTCTTTTTGGCGCAATCTATCGCCATTTTGAAAGTTAACTTGAACACCAATTTATAAACTAAGGAAAACTACTTCTTTTTAGAAAAAGCATTACCAGCTAAATCGAGAACACGCGCGCGGGTGGGTAACAATTTAGATAACACACGCGGTGATCAAATTCAAAAACTAACAGAACAATTTTTTATCTTCAAATTTCAATTTTTCTTCATCAAAAAAACCATAATCTAATATAATCTAATTTAAAATATCTATGTAAACTAATCATTAGCGCAATATGGTATATAACATAGAAGAACAGCCTGTTCTTGAGTTATTGGGGGTAGAGAAAGAATTGTTCAAATTACACATGATATGATGTTGAAATGATGCGATGTCCTTATCATAGTTTCCTTTTTCTTTTTTTTTCTTCATAAGTCACACCGTATTTCGAGATTGTTTGCATCACCTCTTGTCTTGAACAAAAATGTGTGTTATTTACTATTTATCATTAACTTCATCACATTAATCTTGAATGTTTCAAAAAAATATGACTATTCTTTTGCATTATAGATGTTCTTAAATTCATCATTTTTACAATACGCATCTTTATTATGATTGATTTATCGATTGATTGAAAATATAACAGAGACGCAAGGTCAAGGGACAAACACATCATTATTTTTCTTATAAAAAATAAAATGAAAGAATTTATTTCCATTTTCATTATACTAAAATGAATTCTCAAATGACGGCTTCAAACAGTGACAAAAATAATGACAAAAATTCTGAAATCACTAAATCAAAGAAATCAAGAGCTAAACCTGTTTCAAAGTCAATTAAAGTAAATTATAAATCCCTTGTCTACAATTTTCGTTAACTTTTCTTAATTTTGATCTCTCTTACGGATACACAGGCTGATTTAGTATTTCCGGTCGGCAGAATCCACCGTCACCTAAAACGAGGTCGCTACGCATCACAAATCCGAACAACAGCTGCAGTATATCTAACAGCAGTATTAGAATACCTTTGTGCTGAAGTATTGGAATTAGCCGGAAACGCGGCAAGAGACCATAAACGAATACGCATTATTCCGAGGCACTTGCAGTTGGCGATTAGAAATGACGAAGAATTGAATATGTTGTTGAAAAGTGTTACTATCGCCCAGGGTGGTGTGTTACCACATATTCATAGAGAATTATTGTCGAAAAAAGACGGTTTTGCAAATAATGGTATTGAATTTCTTTTGGCTTTTTTTTTACAATTTGAAAGAATATATTAATCTTATTTTGAAAATCAATAGACGAAATTCAAAATGCGCAATGAAAAGTGTTTACAATTTATAGAACATAGAACTGAACTGCAAAGTGAGATCTGTTTTGTGCAATGAATGATGTTCTATATATCGAATGAGATTATATTGGTTGAAAATTAGCGTTAGCGTTAGTGTATTTTTTCTTAATTAATTAATTAGGATTATAATTTGACATTTCAATTGACCATTAATCGTTTGAGTTAAAGACTTGTTATTATCATTCTACCTATACTTATATATCAAATATTATAATAAATGTTCGTCAATTTGATTTTATTTTTAATAGATATAATAATATATACATAAAGTAATCAAATAAAGATTATGAAGATATTACGGTAAAATGTCAAAACCTGGCGTCCAGGGAAAAAGACATTTTTAGATTCTACTTTCACATGAAGAGGTCATAAAAGCAATGAAATAAAAGATAAGATTAAAAGATAATAAGCACGCAAAAAAAAGATAGAAAATATTTGGACAAATGTTAAGAAAGCATTAACATAAGAAAAAGAGCCATTGCAAAGTTTAGAAAGTTTAGAACAATTCTAAAGTTCTTAAAAATTTTTCACAACAAATTCATTCACTTTTGAAAAGACTTGTTGACGACATTCATTCATTTTTGAAAAGACTTGTTGAAGAGAATGATATACTTGATTCGACTTTCTTGTTGCTCTAATGTGATTTTCGTGATATTTAAATGCGTTATTTTTACCACGTTCTGCTTCTTGTTTTATTTTTCTCAGAGTTTCTCCGTTAATTGGTAAATTGTATAATTGTTGTTCGAGTTGAGCAATATCTTCTGGCAGGAGCGAAGGTAAAGAAGGGTTTTTCGTTTGAATCGACTTTTGTATGACTTCTATATTTTTCAAGTAGATATTCCTAGTTTGCTCAAGTCGTTCTAGTAATTCATTATTGTAATAAGGATTTTCGTTTTTTAAACGTTTTTCTTCAGCTATAAAAAGCTCCAAATAATCAACATATGCATCATTAAAAGGAGTTATTGCATTTTCTCGCAAAAATCGAGCAAATTTTAGATTAATTTCTTCTATTTTCTCCTTTTCTTTTTCTAGCTGTTGACGTCTTGCTTCACATTGTTCTAACATCGCTTGTTTTCTTTCTTGATCGGTTTTATTTTCATATATTTGCTTGTTTATTTTTGGATCAAGGAAATTTTTCATTACTGTTTTATTCTCATATCTAATATGCATATGTTTGCTCCAATGGCACCCACAATGATTGCAATAGCCACTTGAATTTATCGTTACACATTCTTTCAAAGCTACATTGTTCACTAAGTCTGTCGTTACATCGCTTAGATAGCAGTGTGAATGGCAATGTGTTATGTAGTCTGTTTTATAGATATTTAGTTGTTCGATTTGTATTGATTTGACACATCCGTTACTTGTACATACAGTTCTCGGAAATGGCAATCCTTCTGGTTCAAGATCCGCTTGAGGAATGTGTAATTTTTTTTGGAGTTGCTCCATAGTCTCGTTAGTGTTTTTTATTTCCGTCTGATGTTCTTTGATCAATTTAATATTTGTCTCGATGTTTTGTGTCGTTTGTGCAAGTGGTTTGGCAAGGATTATTACGATATTTCTGGATTCGTTTAATGATAATGTCTCTTTGATGTTGTGTGGTGGACATTTTGATATATATTCAAGAAGTCTCATTGTTTCATTCACAGATCTTTTCCAGCTCTCCGCAAAACTTTCTTCCTCTTCTTTGGGAAATTTAATTTTACCTTTAAGTGCTGCCAGAAATTTAAATGATTCGCTATCAAAACAGTACATTGTATCACGCTTAATTTTGATCTCGACATTAGATCGATCCTGAAGTTTTTTTAAATGTTCCTTGAGTGGCGGCAAAGTATCACCCGGACGATAAAATGTTCCCCTAGCATTAGTGAAGCAAAACACGATATTGTCCTTTGCGCTTTTATGAAGATGTGTTAATAACTCTTGAATACAAAATCTAAATACAATAGTTGTACGCGAATCATTTGGCTTGAGGAGGATACATATTCCATTTAAATGCTTATGAAAACTGAGACATTTTAGAATATTATCAAAGTTACGTTTGTCTTGATCTAATCCTCTAGTATCTCCGATTCCTGGCGTATCGATCAACCTTAGAATTTTGTTTTCATCGATATGAAACACATGACTTTTGCATCCTTGAGTTGCTGATGCCCCTACAATATCAAATTGTTCATTCGAATCATCATCGCCTATTCGAACTTCTTTTGTATTATAATCTTCGTCTGTTATACTGAATTTGGATGAAATTAATGCAACCAAATCTCCGGATTTTGCTTCCTCGAATGTTTCATATCTAAGGTAATTGACAAACGCATTTATGAATGTAGATTTTCCTACACCAGTTTCACCGAGTAGCAATAAATTGATTTCTTCTGGTGGCTTTTCTGGCAGCATTTGGTAAATTGCTGTTTTTTCATATGATATAAATCCTTCGTTATGATACGGATTGTTGCATTTAAATTTTGCATCAGTGATATTGCTTTCGCCACATCCACAGTAAAGGTATCGATTATAACTATATTCTACTTCAGATTCACATCTGTAACATTTCCAATAACAATCAACAGAGCAATCGGTTCGAGGACAAGGTAAAAACAATCGTATCTTCTCACCAGAGCATGTGAAATTACGACGTGGCATAGAATCAAATTTAATGAGATTCGATTCAAACAAATTTTTTTTGGCACTATAATAATCATCACTGGCCAACTTTTCATCAATATAATGATGAATTACTGTACGTCCGGGATTTTTTATTCGTGAACATTTTTCAAGATTTGCTATAAAATATTTGTTTATCATATAGAGCATTGGCAAGTCTCGAAACATAGTGTATACTGGTGATATCTCGTTATTAATAATATTGTCATTGTTGTCAAGCAGAATATATATATGACCTTTTGGATATTTATATAGAATATCCTCAATCGTGCCATTGTTTTCAATATACTCTACTTTATTGGCTTTTAATACTGATATCAATTCAAGTTTTATAAAAATTGATTGATGTTTATTGACGAATGCCATAATTGGTGATATGCTATTTCTTAATTGTTCTATTTTGCTTTCAAGTATACTAATGTCTGTTATGCCACTACGTACTTCAATAAGACATTCTCTTAGCTCATGCATATAACTTGCCTCTTTTTTCTTAACTTGTTGCGCATATTTGTCGATTTCGTCATAAACATCATTTGAAATTTGATCAGAAATTGAGTCTGCACACTGCCATAAATCCCTGAGCTTTTGTTTTGACTTTGACAGATTATCAAATATTTGTACTGCTCTAATAATAGTATCTTCTTTTATAACTTTTATCATTTTATTTATAGCGATTTTGTAATTGAGAATATTTGCCAGTTCCGATAACGGAATAAGCGTATATTCAACCGGTACTCCTTTTCCATTATTATATTGTTTCATACGTGATGGAAGTTCAGCTATGATCTTTTTTGCTTCAGCAAATGACTGGGGAAATTCATTATTCTCGGAAACAATATCTCCAAAGATTTTTATCGAAAAAAGATTAATGTTATGTTCTCCATCTTTTACATCTAGGCCTTTCGAAATGATTTGTGATAATTGATCTTTTAATATTCTTTCAACATGAGACCTATTCTCGTCGTTCGTCTTTTTGTATTCGAATGACGCCATGATAGTGGCTCCCCATTTTATGCCTATTACGACATGGGTGGCTTCCGGATGTGGTAGCCCGTCAATCGAAATGCTTGCTTTAACATCATCGCGATAAATATTCAAATGCTCAGAGACCGAAGTCAATTTGTATAGCAGAGTACCTTTAATGCTTTTGAAAGTTTTCTTTACGTCACAAAGATACTTTCCGGAACTTACCAACTCAACCAATCCTGTTAGCAAACTTAACCTTAATTCATCTTCTACACCTAACTTTTCAAACTTTTCTTTAAAAGAGTCCTCGTACTCGGCTGATAGCTCAGAATGGTGAATATCAACTTGAGATATGACGTCTTTAAAAGAATTTACGTTTAAAAACGAAGTCCCACAAAACGTGTCTCTTGTAGCATCATAAAAAGACCCAAAAGTCGCGGCTCTTCCAAGAGACTTTCGTGTTATATTAGTACCGCGTTTTATATCGATCGACATCTGTAACAGAAAAAGTTTGAAATTCTTTACTCTGAAAACATTAAATGCAATATTTTTATGTTTCATATGTTATTTACATGTGAAATCAAGTGTATTCAAAAAAGGATTATCTTTAAACTCGATATAGTAGTGATGCAAGCCGACTGGTTTTTTTTTGGCTGAGCCCTTAAGCCGCCAATATGAGTCGCCGTGTGGATTTTAAGGGGGTTCGTTCATAGGACGACATTCATATGATTGGCTGATAAAGTTACACGAATTTTTGTAATTGATATTGTAAATATTTATATATACATATCACATGATATTATTACGAACTGCTAGAATTAACTCGAACTTTGAGAAGGTGAGAGCGTTTTTCAGTCTGTCGTGCGAAAATTAAGCAAGTAATGGACGCGCTAAATAATAAACGAAACGAACTGGTGTTAACAAAAATCCTAAAACGAAATTTGCGTAACATCATAAATACAAATGAAATTATAATTTAACAAAATCGCCACTTAATTTAATAAATTTTATTAAAAAACCCAAAAAAATAAAACAAATAAACTATTAATCATTGTTGTTGAAATTTACGCAATGCCTCTTCTAATGTAAACGCTACATATTCTATGGTTTCATTTTCATCATCATCATCGCAGGGAATATTTTCTGGATCTTCAATTTCTTCTTGCTGTTCTTCATTAAACCATTTCAAGTGTTCTAGTAAAGACTGGACATGTTCATCAATTCCATTTTGTATGAATAAAAAACAATACATACACTTGAATCCATTGTTTATATAGCAAAATCTGTGATAAGTGTGACTGCAAGCTAAAACATTAATTGGATCTGTATTAATTATTAAAGAAATTGGACAGTTAGATGTATCACAAGAATTAAATGGATTTGGCTTATGTAAAGTATTAAATTCTAAAGGAAGATGACATAATCATGCTTCTGGCATTTTCATTGCCATTAATGAAATAATGATATTATTAATTTCCTTCTTTTTTTTTGAAGATGGATTCATAATAATCTGTAATGGAAATATTAATGGAGATTTATAAGATAAGCACGTATAAATTTCTGAAAAATACTGCAAAAGAAAACATGAACTTTTCTTTGTTAAAAATATGATATCTTTGGCAAAATACTTATAAGTTGCCCATGTTAATATGTGTGTAAAGTTTTTCCTAAATCTGCTATCATCCAGATGTAATTAGTTGATAAGATGTCCATACTTAATGATCTGTTTCATCTCAGTATATTTTTGTGTACTTCTACGTAGAAAACTGTGAAATATTTCTACAATTGAATCTGAAAACTTTGGAAGTTCAGCCTTAATAATCTCTAAAATTAGATAATTATTTAATTCCTAGTAAAAAATATTAGAAAGGAATATTAATAGTACTTTAGTATAATTTTTATGATTAAATTTAAGAAATATTATCCAAACATAAAAACAAGACTCCAGATAAGCATCAAAGTTATCAGATTAAAAAAATACAACATAAATATCCAAAATAAGAGAAATACTATTATCAAGAAGATCCTTGAGTGCAAGATATTCAGCATCTTTACATAATCTAAATTTTGCTTCAACAATTGTGGAAATTTCCTGCCAAGCACTACAAGAAATCTCTAAAAGAAGATTGATATGCCATGGCTTGGATTTTTGTGCAAGAGACTTTCATTCTCCAAAAATATACTTGTATATAGTAGTAAAAAATGGTTGATATTGAAGAAAAATTAATTCTCAGCTATTTAGCAAAATGTGTAAAGAACTTATTATGGGAAGAAAAGATAAAATAGTATCATTAATACATGATAAATTATAATAAGATAGATGATGTGAAATTACTATTCTAATATAAATTTGTCCAGGCCAATCAGCGATAATAGGAATGATATATCCTTTCTAAATATACTGCAAAAATTAAAAATTGATATTTTAGTATATATATATCAATATATTAAATTTTTAATGAAAATTTTTACTCATAACATAGATGGAATATTTACAATAACATTAATAGTCTTAAGATATGCATCTAGAGAATAGAAATTATTTTCCTGTAAGTCTATAAGGATCACATCTTTCATTGAATGAATATCTCATTTTTCTTTCAGTCTAGTATCATAACTGTGTATGGTTAATTTTTCTAATCTAGTATTTTTATCAACTATATAAAATTTCTAACGTTAATTATGTGAAAGATCATAAAACTCTATAAATCTTCTCATTACTATATTCATTTTAATCAATTCAGCATCAATAAGTACAAAATTATGTATATTCATTTTTGAAATCACACTTTGTATGGTGATTAGATTCATTAGAATCATTGTCAAATGCGTAGCAGTAGATATAGTTATTGTATTTGACATTCATTCTGTATGAATACTATGATAATCATCAATATTTAAAATCATTGCTTTCTCTGCATATTCTGCAAGTATAGAATTAATAGTTTCAGCATGATTATCAGATATATTAGTCTTATACCATTGGATTATATGAGATATTGTAATCATATCCAAATTAGCAAGAATATCTAAAAATGTATTAGAAGTACTAGTAGAATCTAAGTACATTGTCAAATCTCACTTAGCATTATTAATGAACTTATTCTGAATTCCACAAAGAAAATAGCATACAAATAGGAGTTATCTTTTTGTCTATTCTTGTAAATCTTTATTTTTTGAAGAAGAATTAGATGAAAAATATAATTCATCAAAAAATACTTTTAATCTTGCATCTTCTGTCTCCATAACTATTTGAAATTCATCAAAAGAATATAATGTTGATTTTTTTTCTTTATTTTCACGAGTGTACAAGATGTTTATTATCTTTTCTATTGCTTTAGAAAAGGATAAAGTGGCATTAATATTAATACTTTCAGTCTTATTGGTCTTTTCAATCTCTTTAAACTCATAATTTATACTATCTTAAGTGTGTTGTTAAAATTCAGATATAATATTTACTATAATTTCATTATAACAGTTCATACAAATAGTATCACCTATTTGAAGATAACTTGGAAGAGTAATATTAGCTTGACCTTTTATAAAAACATTTTCAGTTATTTTTCTTCATTAGAATAATTATCTTTAGCAAATAGTAATGACATATAGACCACTAATAGGTATATTTTCTCTTATATATAAAGTATCTTGAGATTTTTGATTATTTTTTGATTATTTTAAGTGATGTGTTTTAAAGCTCTTTTGAAATTAAAAATGAAGTTTTTTTTTACTTTTACTAGTGATAACACCATATTCTTAAAAAAGTACTCTAAAATATATAAATAATATGCAAATTCAATTAAATTTGATTGATAAAATTAGCTAATTATATGAATGTCATTCTATGAAGAATAATCATTATCCCCTTAATCTTTATAAATAATTTAGTCTTCATTCTTAAAACTTATTATAAACTATATTCATAGTAAAATCTACCTTCCAGAGTATAGTTTGTAATATTTGGTGCCCTCTCTGTAGATCTTACTCATCCAGAGGTTCCAGTTAATTTGTTTTTATTATTTTCATTTATTATTTGTTTTATATTTTTAAGAATTAGCTACCCTTAAAATATTAGTTACCTAAATAATTATATAGTTTATAAGTATATATTACTCTTTTATTAGATTCTCAATTAACCTATACCTCAATGAACATAATAGAGAAGATCCTTGGAAATTCTCATCTCACATTGAATCATACAACTACTACCCTTACTATTTTTCTGCCAACAAAAATTCAGATAGAAGATTTATAAATTTTCTCATCTAAACTCAAAATTATCATGTGGTCTCACACAATAGACTCTTACAGAAACTCTTTGATAATATAGTACAGCAAAATCTTATATCTAATCAACTTTGAAGAGAAATTATCAAGTTATTAAATATCTTCATATTTGAAATTAAAATTACAGTTGAATAACAGATCTACCTAGTTAACAGTATTCTTCTTGTTCTTGAAGAGATAGATAACTTTGAAATTCTCTCAACTAATCAGTTAACAGAATCAAAATATGAAAATAGTGATTCAGAAGATCCTGAAGAACCAATAGTTACAATTAAACAAATTCAACCTCTAAAGCCCCAACTAAAAGAAAAAATAACTATGTCAGATGAAATGGATAGTCTCATTCAAGTTCTTGAAGAATTAACTTAATCTATGAAGATTCAGAGAATGAAGAAGATTCTTATCCCAATTCATAAATTTAAGAGTAATGATCAGGATCCAATCAAATGGTTACATGACTTTGAAGTAGTCACCAAAGCTAATGGAATTACTAATGAAAGGAAAATTGAAATAGTAAGAGAATACCTAGAGAGATCAGCTGCTATCTAGTTTGACTAATGATTTATAAGTAACACCCTCAAATTGAATGATTAGACAAATCAAGATCATGATTAATATGATTTCACTTTCTAATTTATTCTTAAATTCTATTTATCTTGTAAGATGTAACAGTAGCAAGATAAATTAAAATTATTAAAACAAACTGAAATAGTAAATTAATTTATGGAATTAGAAAATAAAATAGATTCAGAACAGACCTATCCAGAAGAATACAAGATTCAGATTTTCAAGAAAGATCTTAAACCTGAAATTTGAAAATGGATTAACCTAAATACTGAGAATATCATGAAAAGCATCATTAAAACTGCAAAGAATATAGAAAAAACTAATTCAGATCCACTTGAACAAATCTATCATCAAACACAAGCTCAGCCAACTAGTGAATAGAGTGCTCTAGCTAAAGATCTTGCAAGATCTGACCAGTAGGTTAGACTATGTAAAATCTGACAGAAGATATAATAATAATAGTAATAATAATAATCAGCAACAAAATCAGCCAAGAGACAGATCTCCCATTATCTGTTATAGTTGTGGAGAAAAAGAATATGTCAGTAAAATTTGTTCAAACAACTCCCAATCAGTAAATTAACTATTTAATATTTAGAATATTTCTTGAAACTGAAATAATCAAAATCAGAATATCAATA